ATGGGGGTGTTATTTATGGAGATGTTTATGATGATAAATCTTCCTTCAGGATCTGTTACTGTGCTGTTATGGATAAATGAGATTTTCTTGTGTATTAATATGGCTACTCCTCTCTGTCTGGAGTTAAAATGGGCAGAGAACACTTTATTGAACTGTGGTGTTATTAATTTATGTTGATCAGATTCAGATGTGTGTGTTTCCTGTAAGAAGCATATGTCTGGTTGTAATTTATTTATGTGGTTAAATACCTTAAGTCTTTTTGCCTGTGCACCAATTCCACGAATGTTCCAAGTAAGAAATTTAAGTGAACTCATTGTGATAGAATGCGGGTGCCTATGATTATGTTTGTGTGAGAGTGTGTTGTGTGTTTTATTTGAGACTTGTGTGTAAGTGTGTGTATGTGTGTTAGTATTCCTCTCCGTGATCTGAAGTTGTAAGGGGTTAATGTTGTTTGGAGTAAGGGTTTGGGAAATAGAGAGGGAAAGAAGGAGAAAGAACACAGTGTGCAGACAGAAAACAAACAAGCAAGATGTAAAAAACATTAAACACTTAAATTCAAAGAAACTACAAGACCAAAGAGCAAAAGTGCAGTACATGGTGAAATTAAGGTGCATATTTTCAATTCAAATCAGCGTCATTGTGGTGAAAGGGAACGGGTACGGCGAGTGGAGTGATATTCAAAATAACCAGGGGGTTGTTGTTATGTCACGGTAGAGTTGTCCATTAATGTAAAGTTTGTCGACTGAGAATATTGCTTTTTTTCCTTCCTGTATGTTCTTTTTGCGGATGGGGAGTAGTGTTTTGCGCCTGTCCATTATTTCTTGGGGGAATTGATCGTTGATGCCAAAGTCCGTGCCTTTAAGATTTCGGCCGTGTCGTTGTACCTGTTGTTTTTGTTGGTAGTGCTCAAATTTGGCAATTATGGGTCACGGGCGTTTGTTTGCAGGGTTCTTGGGTCCAATGCGGTGTGTACGGTGAAATATAATGTCCTTTGCAGTGTCCGGGGGTATTTTCAGATGGGTGGTCATGAAATCCTGTATTAACTGTTAGGGGTTGTCGTTGTGTTGTTCAGGTATACCGGAGAAGACTAGATTGTCTCTCATGCTGCGGGATTGAAGGTCGAGGATTGATTCTTTCATTTGTTTATTTTCTTTGGTGACTGATTCCAGCTGTGTTGTGAGTGAGGTGACAGAGTGTTGGAGGGATTTGTTATCTTTGGTGAGTGTGGTAAGTTGCGCCTGTGTGAATTTGAGGCTGTCGCGGATGTGTTGGAATTCTTTGTGCAGAACTTCAACAAGAGCGATTCTTGTGTCAAGACCAGACAGACTGTTATTGATTGATATTAGGATCTCACTGACCTCAATGCAGCAGTGTTTTTCGGGAGAGTTGAGAAAAGAGTCGGACTGGCGGCTTCGTTTTTTGTCGGATTCGGTGGGATTGTTGTTGTCCATTTTGGGAATTTTATCGGTGTCGTTCATGCAGAGTCAGGTGAAGCATTCATCAATGTACTCCTCTAGATCCTCCAGGTCGTTCAATGGTGTAAATCCGGGTTTGGGGTGCAGAAAAAAGTAGTTTTGAGCCAGAAGAGTGGTAAGAGCTGTGTTTTAGATCTAGCAGCGGGCTGCCATCTTGAGTTTTGCACCGGTTGTCAGATCTCGCGATCACAGACGCATCCTCTATCCTCACAGACGCATCCTCTCTCCTCACAGACCCATCCTCTCTCCAAATCAAAACCTCTACTTAAAAAGCTTACTCTGGACTCAGGAACTCTGGCTAACTACAGGCCTATATCCAACCTTCCTTTTTTCTCAAAGATCCTGGAGAAGGTGGTAGCTAAACAGCTGTGTGACTTTCTCCATGACAACAGTTTATTTGAGGAGCTTCAGTCAGCATTTAGAGTCCACCATAGCACTGAGACTGTACTAGTTAGAGTTACAAACGATCTACTTTTAGCCTCAGACAGGGGACTTCTGTCTGTGCTCGTCTTGTTAGATCTTAGTGCTGCTTTTGACACCACTGACCATCGGATCCTGTTGTACAGACTGGAGCATTTGCTTGGAATTACAGGGACTGCTGATTCAGTTGGTTTGAATCCTACTTATCAGACCGATCTCAGTTTGTACATGTTAATAATGAGTCCTCTATGCACACTAAAGTTTGCCATGGAGTCCCACAGGGTTCAGTGCTTGGACCAATTCTCTTTACATTATATATGCTTCCTCTGGGAAATATTATGAGGAAACACTCCATACAGTTTCATTGTTATGCAGATGATACTCAGCTTTATGTATCAATAAAGCCCGATGGCACCAGTCAGTTATGTCAGCTAGAAACGTGCCTTAAGGACGTTAGGACCTGGATGACCAGAAATGTTTTGCTACTTAACTCAGACAAGACTGAAGTTATTGTGCTAGGCCCTAAGAACCTCAGAGAGACTTTTTCTAGTGATTTGACTGTCCTTAGTGACATCAGCCTGGCATCTAGCACCACTGTTAGGAATCTAGGAGTTCTTTTTGATCAAGATATGTCTTTTAGCTCTCACATCAGTCAAGTTTCAAGAACAGCCTATTTTCACCTTCGTAGTATATCCAAGATCAGGAATATCCTGTCGCAAAATGATGCAGAAAAACTAGTTCATGCATTTGTTACCTCCAGACTGGATTATTGTAACTCTCTTTTGTCAGGGTGCTCTGGCAAGTCTCTAAAGACTCTTCAACTGGTCCAGAACGCTGCAGCTCCTGTACTGACCAGAACCAGGAAATGGGACCACATCACTCCTGTCCTGGCTTCTCTGCACTGGCTCCCTATATAGTCTAGAATAAAATTCAAGATCCTTCTTCTCACCTACAAAGCTCTACATGGCCAGGCACCATCTTACCTGAAGGAGCTACTAGTGCCGTACTGTCCCTCGAGAGCGTTGCGGTCCCGGAGTGCAGGCCTGCTGGTGGTACCTACAGTCTCCAAGTGTACTATGGGGGATAAAGCCTTCAGTTATCGGGCTCCTCTCCTCTGAAACCGCCTTCCAGCCGGGGTCCGGGAGGCAGACACAGTCTGTATTTTTAAGAATAGACTTAAAACTTTCCTTTTTGATAAATCTTATAGTTAGTGCTGGTGTAGACCAGCTCTTAGTTATGCTGCTATAGGCTTAGACTACCGGGGAAACTGGCACCTTGAGCTCCTCCCTCTCTCTCTCTCTCTCTCTCTCTGTGCATATACAGTACATCATATTACTGCATGTATCTATCTGTAAATCTCAGTCACTAACCACCTTTCCTGAGAGCTCTTGAGCTCTCTTAGGCTCCTCAAGATCATTGGTTGATGGCCTGCCAGAACAAAGAGTAAGGTATTTTACCTGCTTTTTGTAAAGTGTCTTGAGATAACACTTGTTATAAGTTGACGTTATACAAAATAAATTGAATTGAATTAAATTGAATTGAATTATTACTTAACCATTATTACTGACATTGTAGCCACAAATCAGTTGTATTCATTGTTGTTATTTTCTGTTTGTTTCTCTCTTGTATCTCTCTTTCTGCTCGACCAACACAGGAGCAGCAGATGGCTTTTCAACATGAGTGGTTCTGCTTTAAGGCTCCTGCCTGTTATGAGGATGTTTTTCATTGCCACTGTTACCATGCTACAGTATATGTTGCATAGTGCTGTGCTCATGTTGGATTAATGTGCATAATTCTAAATCATATAATAAAGATTACTGTCTGAATCTGCTCTTTTTGTAAAGCGTCTTGAGATAACATTGGCCCTGTACAAATCAAAACTGATTGATTGAAAGGTATCCATTTGGAATTATTTTAATATAAACAACTTGTAAATTGTGCAGGCTTCTAATGGCCAACAAACCCAACCAGCCCACCTTTGCATGCGTTGAAATACATATACAGTATGTGGATGTATTTGATTGGTTGTCTTCACCTTTTTGAATGTTTGTACCTCTCTTTTAATTCCGTACCTACCCTATTTAAATGATGTTTGTAATCTGTCTCTTGCTGACCCTGATGAAGGCCACAAGCCGAAAACGCGTCGGTCTAATTTCTTAATAAAGTTGATCTTCGTACTACAAGTGTTGCTGAGCTTTTTTAAAAATATGTATTTTTTGGGGCTTTTGTGCCTTTTTAATGGAGAGTGGATAGAGCTGGAAATCAGGGAGAGAGAGAGTGGGGAACGACATGCGGGAAGGAAGCCACAGGCTGGATCTGAACCCGGGCCGCCCGCTCTGAGGACCACAGCCTCCACACATGGGCCGCGCACACTAACCACTGCCCCACAAGCACCCTAGTTGCTGGAGCTTTTTGACCTCTTCAAGCGGTTCACTCTTCATGCACCTTGTCAGTTGGTGAAGCTTCTTCAGGCTTATAATGGATGAAGCAGTATATGTAGCAGTTGACTCTTATGTCCACTTTGAGTGTTTGGAGAATTAAAGGCAGGCTCACACACTGTGCTGTCATTCACGCTGTATTACAGAGAGTGTGGGTGTCTTAACCAGAGTGTTGTATAAGAGCAAATAGAGAGCCAAAGACCTCCCCACGCTCACATCGTATCTGGCTTCTATTTTTAAGATTTTATTTTAAGTTTGTCCTCAAGAAAAAGGTTACCAGTTTGTTTTTTTCTTACACTGTTCTACATTGCAATATCTCATAATTTTGAAATAAACAACATCATATCCCATGAGCTGTATTTACTTGCAAACTGACAAGGCCTCATGGGAGCCCTCTTTTAGAATTGTTTGTAATTGGGGGAAAGTGGGAGGTTTGGAACGAGATAATTTTCTCTTAATTAACATTCAGACAAGTGTGTGTTTGTATATCGGTTTAAGTTTTTTTTTTTAGATCAAAATTTGTGTACTGAATTACAAAAAAGATGAATGAAGTGTGGAAAAAAAAAACATTTAACATTTTGTTTGGCCTGCAAACATGAACACAACTTCCTTATAGGATTACATTTTCAACATAATATGCACATGAAACACACTTTCACAATTCCAGTTTTCATTTTATCCCTTTTTATTTTACACAACATAACAACACAGTACATGTTGTCTTTTCTGTACAGAAGCTTTCCAGGAGCTTGTGATGAACACAGGCTGCAGTATACCAATGTCAGTGAAAAGCTCACAGGGTTTTTTTTTTTTTAATCTTCTTTTTTTTTTTTCATTCTTCCCTTTAAAAAATATCAATTTCATACGAGGTCTGTTAAAGTCTTCACCTGTTTTGTTACTTTTTGTCTCAGTTTGTGTTGGTCTACATGTCAGGAAACATATGTACTCCTCAGTAGGTAAGAAAGGCTATTAGTGAAATCTCTCTTCCTCTTTGTTTGGCCCCTCCATCCCAATCCCCCGCTCGTGGTTGTATGGAATCCTCAGTCTGGTTTCTTCATCTGTCAGAGGGTCTGTTAGTGCAAAAGAAGGCACCGACTGCTGTTCTCTTGCCACCGTATTGATACACACTTCCTATGGGCGTGTGAATGTAAGAATGGTGTTCTTTTACAGTTTTTTTTATTTGTCTTTTTTTATTTCCTGTAATAATTCCCTTTTTGTGGTAGTTTCAGATAAGGTGACAGTGATCCTGGAAATGACGTGGCAAACCCATTGTCTTGTTTTCTTTTTGTGCTATAAGTGGAATCAATGAGACAACTTGAAGACGCTACGAGACAAGGCGAGTCAGCCGCTCGCTGAATGATCCAGTGAAAACAGATAGGAAACTGCCAAAGTGAAAAAATCTGTAAATGGAACAGAAGAGTTTGGAGAAAAGTTATGAAAATGATAAAAAATGAAAAAAAAAGTTCACTCTCTTTCACTCAGGAACACGCAGTCATCGAAACACACACACACACACACACACACACACACATCTATAAACAAAGCCTCCAACAGGAAAAGACACACACACACACTGAAAACGCACATTCTAAACAGCACACAGATTCAAGTGCTGCCAACACACTTGAACCTTTTCTCACACACCTCAAAACAAATCCAAACCAACACACAAAGTCACACACATAACCCCACACACACACTCATACAAAAGTGGATGATTTTAAACCAAAGTTTGTTTGATGGTTGCGGACTCGTTTGAGTTCAGACGGTGCTTTCTAGAATCCAGTCCGACTCGCACCGCCCTCTGTCTGAGTCCGCATCCCCGTCTTTCAGGAGCAGCATCCCGCTCATTGATTGGCTCCTTTTGTTCCGCATTATACGGCCTAATTTGGGCACTCCTCCTGCTCCCTGATGGGGCGAGTGAGTCTTTGAATTGCCTCCCTCACTGAGCGAGTACCTCCTCCTCGCCCTGCTCCTCCCTCCCTCTTCCACCGGGAGAGTCTTGTACTTGACGGAGGTGGAGGCGGAGGGGACAGCGCGAGGAGCCCTGCGCAGGATGGGCGTCTCTCTGAAGCGGATGGAGGGGACCGGGCTCGGGGTGGAGTGAGGGCTGGAGAACGTGGACAGTGCAAAGGGGGGCGGGGTCTGGTTGAGAGATGTTGAGTTATTGCGGTTGGTGTTGAGATTCTCTAGAGGGATCGATGAAGGGAGAAGAGCCGAGGAGGTGGAAGAAGGTGGGCGAGGGGAAGGGGAGATGAGATTTTCAGGAGTCGCCGAGGTGTTTGAGCAAACTGAGCCCGGCTTACTTGGGGCCGGCTTCCGCTTTGGCTTAGATAGTGAACCGTTGGTTGTGGTGGGCGAAGAGATGCTAGCTCTCTCTTCACCCCCCTTCTCCCGCTCCCCGCTTCCAGCGGTTGGGCTTTTGGCGGCCCAGGGCTGGCTGAGAAGGGACGTAGCTGTGGAGCAGTCAGGCAGGGAAGAGTCAGAGGACTGAATCACTGTATCCTTTCCCCCTCCTGCTTCGCTCCTTTTCTTTGAGCCTACTGAGAGGTCGTCTAATCCGATTGAGCCGTGTTTAGAGGCGCTGGGAGTCACCGTGCATCCCTGTGACTGCGAGCCATTGGTCTGTGAGTGAACATTGGTCATAGACAGAGAAACGCCTTTCCCTCCCTCACCAGGATTACACACCTGAAGAAAAAACACGAAAGTAATGTGGTGTTAATGTTATGTGTTATTTACATTTTAAACAAGAACTATTTAATAAAGGGCTGGACAAAATGACACAATATATAACCATATTTTTTTAATGGCATTTGCTGTCAGTTTTATATATATAATCCAATTCTTATTCTGTCAAAAATATGTTTTTATATGACAAACAATGTCAACCTTTTAGTGTTTGATTTAATCTACACTTCACTGTTAAGATACTTTATTTTTCACGTCACATTTATTTAAATAGAAAAGTTGGCAAAAAACACCGAAAATAGAGATTGTAGTGATATCAATACCTGATCAGAGTGAATAATAGTCATATGGTTTTTACATTTAGGATATATTTGTTGCCAAGGAATTCTTAAATGTACCTAAAATATCTGGGGCCGTATTCAAAAATCCTCCTAAGTAATAAGAGTTGCTCCTAGTGACAGAATTCTTAGAATCAGGACATTTTCTAAGAATTAACCCCTCAAAGTTAGGACTAGAGGAGTAGTGAGGAGGACTTTTAACAGGATGAGGAGGAAATGGAGAAATGTTCTCCAAACACTACATGAAGAATATTTTTGACTCATAGTTGGGCAGAACAGACAAAAAATATTTGTGCAGACATTTCAATCCATCTCTGACTTTATTCAGTACAAAGTGAGACATGTTGAGTTTCTCTACATGTGGTGACCTCCACAGGTACATCCAATCACTCATTAAGACTCTTTACTTGCTGATGTAACCTAACTATCAGCATGTGATGAAGCTGCTGCACAAGTGAGCATGTGATTTCAAACATCTTGTAGGCTATATACTTTTAAAGAACGTCTTTTTATCACACAGATGATCATTTCAAAGTGTTCATAATTACACAATGTCTGACTAGATTCTATGTTTGACTCTTTATCTCCATGTTTTTTTGGATTAACCAATCACAGCATCTGAAATAATGTGTTATGCCTAGCAATGGGGTCGACCACGCCTCCTCACTAAGATTAAAGTTTCTGCCTCTTCCTCACTCAGAGTTGCTCTGAGAATGTTCATAAATCACTCCTAGGCTAAGACTGCTTGCTAGGAATTCTTAAGCTAAGTTAGGACCTCTCTGAGAGGATTCTCAGAATGCTTGTGAATATGGGCCCTGATGTATTAAATCAGGAGAAACAGAAGGCTCTGCAAAGGCAGAATGTGCAACATTTTACACATAAATATATCCTCTGTAAAGATCTCTCTGAGTGGTGACTGTCCACAATGAGTGACGCGTGAGTCCTGCTGTCTGTGATGTTGTCTGAGCCGTGTTTACATCGTGTTTACATGGACGGGACGGCCGGCCGGCTCATCATCTTGCGTATAAAAGCTGTTTAAGTGAGCGACTAGAGAAAAGAAGAATAACATACTGTACTCTCTGCTTATTTGAACATCACGTTAGAGTTTTTAGATCACGGTCATTCCGTGTATATTAACATGCAATGTGCAGCTAAGAGCTAAGTAAAGTGAGCTAGCATTAGCATGCTAACACAACACTGCAGCTTGAGATGAGGCACTTTTTGTCCACCGCTTGTGCTTAGCGCTTAGTGCTTAATTAATGTGCGTTCCTATTTGATAACTCCTTTGTGTAAGGGTGAGGGGAGTGGGGTTGGGGTATAGGAAGACTCAGAGTGGCGCAGGTGTTGCCACACTGTTTTGATTTAATGCTTGTGATCAAGGGGCGACATCTACTGGATCAAAAAGTGGCACATTGTTACTTTAAACATTGTAAAATTAATAAAGATGTATTCGATTGAAAAATATATTTTTGAATATTGTCTAAGAATGAAACGTTTTAAATGTAATTTACCTTGAGCAATTTTAATTTGAACACTTTTCTTACTAGGAATGGGCTTTCACAGCCGTCAATGAGACATGGTAATGTAGAACTGTAAAGACAGGATAGGATTTGGTTGGAAGCTGAGATGAACTGAATTGTAAATGGGCAAAAACGTTGATTGACTGTAATTCAGTTCATCAGAATGAGACCAGACTGGCATACAGCCACCATGTGAATAATGTCAATCTTCTGCCATAATGAAAAGCTCTTTCCTTTTATTCTTTTTCCTTTATGGCCGGAGTGGATTAAATGAGACAGACAGAGACCCACCTTGTACCGTATCATCAGGATGATGATGAAAACGAGCACAGAGGCCACTATTATCCCTCCGATGATGATGATCATTGTCCCACCGAGGAACTGAGACTGCATGAAATGACACCTCATGTACTCTGACTCGGTGCTGAACTGCACACAGCCGACCACACGTGTGGCTGTCAGAGAGGTGACGACATCATCGTAGATGGCCAGCACACAGAGGTCGTACTGGGTCCCTGCTGCCAGGTTGTTGACCAGGAAGTTCTTGCTGGATGGGGGAATCATCCTGTGGTAAAAGATTGAGGGCAGACAGACAGAGAGAGAGAGAGAGAGAGAGGAAAGGAAATGTTTATTTTTTAACAGCATCAAAAAATTACGACTAGATATTACTTTGAAAACGAAAAGTGTCAATTGAGCATGTTGACATAAGGTATCAACTTCCTGTATTTGTCAAGAATAATAACATTTTGCTCTTTTCCAGCTAAAATACTGATATTCCTTAAGCATTGACTTATGGACAAAGAGTTTTTACTTCCTATAATAGTCTATCAACAGTTAAACATTAACATAGTTTCTCACTTATTCTAATTTGCCCTTTTAAAATGTTAAACCTACGTAATGAATATTCAGCCATTTTGGATGTGGCAAAAAAAAAACATAGAAAATTATTTACAAAAAACGTTTTGGTCATATAATGACCATGCTGGCAAACCATGTACTTGCACATCCAGTTAGCAGCATTAGCCGTCATTTAGAAAAGTGTCTTTATGAATGTAAGTCCAGTAACAACAACAACAACAACCCCTTTTTAAGATCTGTTCTGGTGTCCTCTTAGCTCATAGTTTCAGTGTGTTCAACAACAGGTAACAAACTGGTTAAATATGGAGCTTTTATCTTTCTGCAAACAGCTGCTGTAATACCAAACGGGAGCTAAAAGAGGCTTAAAGACACATCCTACTATAGAAATGTCTTTGGGTGCACACCTTCAAGCAATGACTTTTACAGTCATGTTTACCAACTTTTGCAATAAAAATAAATACAATAATTGATGCTAGAAACAACTCTATTATATATCGATGGATCCTTTGTCTATAAGTTTTACAGGGGTTACACTAAAATCCTCCTATGTTTTCTGTATATGTTTTATGTCCAATAATTTAACATTAGAAATGGCCCTATAAAAGTTCAGTCCTATTACAATTTACAGCCCACATTAAAACAAAAGGTCCCTCTGCTTAGTTTCTAAAGGACTATAAAACCATCCTCCAGAGAAGGATGGAAAAAAAACATAGTACATTGTTCAAATGATATAAGTTAAATCCTGACCTAGATACGATGAAGAACTAAAAATAAAATGCTTCACAGGGTTGGGAGAATGAAAATGTGAAATAATCAATACACTCAGCTCCATGGTGTATAGCTTGGTGCTGAATCCTAGACATACAAAAAAAAACAGAAGACATCAGCAGTACAGGAGACCAATTAAATTATTTTTTACTGCATGGTTGTTTTAATGCAGATGCTGCTCCTCGGTATGCAAATATTCCACACACAAGGCTTTCAGTCAAATCAAGATAATAAACTAAACAAATAGAAAGGTTGTTTTCCGGTTTGATTTGAAGTTGGTAATTCTTCACTGGACACTTGTCACACTGACTAAACTATGCACACTTGTCCTTCAGTTTCCCTTTAAGGGCTTGTCAGCTTTCCAGGATTTTCTCATTAAAATGCTAATGAAATTCCTCATTAAAAGTAAAGAGAGCGTCTCGTGGTGTTATGCGCACGGAGAGGAGCAAAGGGCTTTTTAGGCCAGGTGGAGCATCTAGTTTAGAGTTCAAGTTAAGTGAAGGTTAGGAGGTATGTTACGGTTTAATGGTTGGTCTTCAGAGCAAGGGAGTGAATGCAGAGCTGGGTCATTAGCCTGCTCTCTGTGGAATAACAGCACAAGGCTTTCAAGAGTGTGTGTGTGTGTGTGGGGGAGCATCTGTATGACCCTATGAATACTAATAGGACCGTCTGAATGTTGGCTGACCATGACTGTTCTCCCCTTTGCTTCTCTTGATGATTTTATCACCAAAGTCCTTCCCTCCCAAACACACACAAACAGACACACACACACACACACACACACACACACACACACACACACACACACACACACACACACACACACACACACACACACACACACACACACACACACACACACACACAGAGTGACATTGAAGAGTGTAGGTGAATGATAGGAGCGAGTGTCACTGCCACCTACACGCTCAGATACAAGCAGCTACATTTGTTTATGCATATATACACGAACAGAGATTAATTCCCCTTTTATTGCTTGGGCTTTGGGCTTCATTTGTGGGAATGAATGTACATGTGTGATTTTGTGTCACATTAGCCACTAAGGCATGTAAATCTCAGCTGATAATAATGTGTTTGTTTTGTAACTGGTTGGCCTGCACATTCTGAGATCATCTTATTATTATTATTTTTTCTTGCAGGCTTAAACACGGTCACACTCTCAGACACACACACACAGCTGTTTATTAGCTCATTAATATTAGATGTCTATAAGGCCTATGCTTTTATATAAGTACACAGTTATAATATTCAACAGACACAGTATGAGAGAAAGAGCTAAAACACCAGAGGTGCACACACATTTGCAGATGGTACAAGCACATGCACAGACACATAATCACACATTAAAGGCTTTATATGCAATTTTTTGAGCCAGTAGAAGTCGCCCTTGAGCACCAGCATGAAACCAAAACAACTCATGCTGCATTGTTGTGTTAGCATGCTAATGCTATTATTATTATTATTAGCTATTTATTATGCTCGTATCTGTACACTGCATGTAAATTTACCTGAAATGAGCGTGATCTAGAAACACAGTTAAGCAGTGAGTACAGTATGTTATTCTTCTTTTCTCTAGTCCCTCAATTAAACAAATTTTATACATGAGGGGAGGAGTCATCGGCCGTCCTGGCGATGTAAACAAAGTGAAGATAGGACTCTGAAAACTCTGAAAACATCACAGACAGTGGGACTCAGGTGATACACCCATTGTAGACAGTCATGGCTCAGAGTTACTTTCAGAGAATATACTTGATTTCTATTATATTTAAGTGTGAAAAATCACAAATAAATTTCATTTAATTTCATTTATTTATTTAAAAGACAGTGCACATTAATCAACATTTCTGTAAATGTGCCAGTGTTAGCCAGCAGGATAATTTTCAACTGTAGTCCTTTGGCAAGATGTTAAGTTAGGCACAGGTTGGCTAAACAATTAAAACATGTTAAAGAATACACACAGCAACAGATAACAACAGTAATAAAACAGTAATAAAATATATAACCATACAACCATTCATAAAAACCACCATGGGTTTGACAGCACAGCTACAACAATACACAGCAACACACAAACATGCACTCAGATTAAATACTATAAAAGGTGTTCACATTTTTGATTGCTTAAAAGCCAGTCCTTAAGACGGTGGGTGAATGTATGGTGGGAGGTGCAATTTCTAATCTCCACTGGCAATCTCCAATTGGTTCCATAATTTAGAGGCTCTCACAGAGAAACATAATTGACCAAAGGAGCTGGACCTAAGAGGGACTACACAGTCCCCTCTTAGTTGGCTAGGTTGTATTTGGTTATTTGCATTGCTCACCTGGTTTTTGAAGGATAGAATAGTGTCAAGGATAATACCTAGATATTTAAAATGTGTAACTGTTTGAATGACCTCCCCAGACACATAGACCTTGGGTTCACGGTGAGATACAGTGTTAGTCTTGCTAAAAAAATATACAGACTGTCTTTTTTACATTGAGATACAACTTTGAGTGAGCAAGCCATTTATGTACATGTACCATTGTGTCTCTGAGTTTGGCAGCAGCTTGGGCTTTGGTTTTTGCATGAACATACATTACTGTATCATCAGCATACATCTGAACCTCACATCCAGTGCAGACTGATGGCAGGTCATTTATATAAAGGCTGAACAGAATAGGGCCCAGGATAGATCCCTGGGGTACACCCAGTTCATTCCTCAGGGGTGGTGATGTCTCACCACTAACCCTTACACACTGAACTCTATTTGACAGATATGATCTCATCCAGTCAATTGGTTGAGAAATTAAAATAACACATTTTGTGAATGAGTATTTGATGATTGACAGTGTTGAAAGCTTTTTTAAGATCTAAGAAAATTGCTCCAACTATGCCTCATTTGTCCATTTTTGATTTGATGTTTTCCACAAACAAACAATTTGCTGTCTCGGTGGAGTGATTGGCTCTAAAGCCGAATTGCATGGGGTGTAGTGTAAAAGGACTACTGTTAAGATGCTCAGTCAATTGCTCAGCCACACATTTTTCAGAGATCTTAGACATGACGGGTAAAATACTAATCGGCCTATAGTTATTCATATCAGTTGTATTCCCAGATTTATAGACTGGAACAACAATGGCTGACTTCCAGTCCTTTGGGAATTTTCCCTCCTTAAAAGAGGTGTTAATGATTTTAGTTACTGGCCCTGTGAAAGAGGCAGCATGTTTCTTTAAAAACATAGAATCCAATCCAAATATGTCTTTTGATCTGGAATTGTTAATAGAAGTAATTATAGACTTAACTTTGGATTCAGAAATCTCTGTCAGAGTTAAAACTGGCTGTGTAATATCAATTGGTGGTGAGTATAGTGGACCACTTTGAGAACTATGTATAGTCAGCCTCACAGAATTGACAAAATGGCTATTAAAAACAGTCACTATTTCTGCTGGTCCCTTATACAGGGTTCCATTGTCTTTGATCTCCAGCTGCTTTGTTACTATATTATTTCCTTCCCCTGTTAGTTTATGCAGACAGTCCCAGATTTGTTTATGATTTCCCTTAGCGTCATGTATAAGATTAACAAAGAAGTTAGATTTAGCTGCTCTGATTTCCTTTGTTACTCTGTTTCTAAAGGACACAAATATATGCCTGTCAGTCAATGACTTGGACTTAAGAGAGTGCTTCAGAGCATTATCTCTCTCCTTCATTAATTTCCTTATATCACTAGAAATCCAGGGGAGGGTGTATCTATTATTCCCTTTAGATTTGCCTTTCTTAAGGAATCATTTTGTTATGTTTTGGATTGTGGACACGAGGACATTTGTGTCAGTATCAACATCTACACCAGCTATGATTTGGTTCCAGTTAATGTTTTCAAATTCATCAATATCAGGATAGGTATTCTTAATTGGCTAGATTTGGTGTTGGGTTTCAAGTGGAAGCG